TTTTAACAGGATCTCACTATGTAGTTCTGGCTGGCTTAGAACTCATTATACAGACACCAGGTTGACCTGTAACTCACAGAGATCCATCTGTCCTGCCTCCCGAGTGCTGGGATTAAAGGCATGCATCACTACTCCTGGCTGCATATATATGTGTTGTTTTCTATGTCTTGGAATTGTTTTTGTTTCTGTATTTCTATGTCTTGTTTTAAAAGTTCTTCTTTTTTCCCCTTATAATACTTCATTGTAGAAGTTAGAAATTTTTTTAGTTTGTTTTTATCAAATTTTGTTGTATTTCACACAGAATATCTCAGATAATCTGAATCATCTTTATAGCCCCATCCCCACCAGCACCCTCCCATAGCCCCCCACTGGAACCCATATATTCTGTCCTGGGTGTTTAAGGCCCACTGTGTCAAGTCAGTGTCCCCAGACGTTCCCCAGTGCAAGTTCATCCTCCATCTACTTGCGGTCTAGTCAGATCCCGCTCTTCTATCTATCCAAACACCTATCATTTTCTTTTTTTTTTTTAATGGAGCGTAGTGTGGGGTTTATTTACGGAGGAGTGGGTGCCCCCTATTTATGGCTGCATTGGAAAGTTCACACTCAAATATAGATCCTGTGACTTCCAGACAGCCATAGAAAACAATGAGAGGAACCTTCTGGCATTCTCAGCTTATATAGCCTTAGCCCCTCCCCCACACGCGCCCCTCAACAACTTGATGAGCATGGGAAGGAGGTGTGACTATAGCTTGCCAGCATGGTGGCCAGAGGACAAAAAGTTAGGATCTTTATCCTGTGGAATTGTGGATTTTGCTGATCCTGTCCCCACAGTGCTGCTGAATATATCTTTTTCGTCTTCATGATCATTGCCTATACTTTATTAGTTGCTCCAAAATGGTGAGACTCCATTTCTCTCATTAGAGAAACTCTCCCCTTTCTCAACCAACTAGTTCCTCTGAGCTTCTAGGGAATAGGCAGGGCAAAGCCTTGTTAAACTTTACAGTTTTCAGTATATGAATTGGTCCCCTAGGATCCTGTTACGTGAAATGTTTCCCACAGGCTTGGGTGTTTGAATGCTTGGTTTCCAGCAGGTGGCTGTTTTAGGAGGTTGGGAATCTTTAGAACTAGGGCCTCCTAGCTGACCTAGGCCATGAGAGTTGTACTCTGGCCCTGCTTCTAGTCACTCTCTGTGTTCGGATCTGCTGAGATGTGATGAGTGGGACTGTGAGTCCTTCCCACTCCCATGCCTTCCCCATCACGATGAGCTTACAGCCTCTGAAACTGTGAGAATGAACCCCTCTTCCTTGAGTTGCTTCCGTCACGTATCTGGTCACAGCAGATGGAGGACCAGCATGCCCTTCATGGAGAACCTCTTCCAAAGGCCGCTTTTTCTTAGGCTTCTTTACTCTCTGTTATAACAATACATCTCTGCTTCTTCTTGGTTAGTTCTTGCATGGGACCTGGAACCAGCCAGGGCATGATTGCTTCCTCAGTCTAGGGAGTGCTAGGCATGCACAGTGCTGTGAGGACATTGTTTCTAGGCCTTTCGGGGATGGAGCTAGGGAATATGTACTTTGCTAAAGATTGAAAAATACAATGAGTTTGGACTGACTCTTGCAGTTTGACTTTCTGGACTGTAATATTTTAAAAATAATTTCATTCTTTTTCCTATCCAAAAGATCCTGCATTTCAACATGCTTGCTTCTTGATTTGTCACAAAAATATATTCCCACTAGTCTTAGAACAACAGTACATACTTTTCCAGTAAGAACATGGCCACTGAAAGCATATTAGGTTTGGGGGGTAGCATTTCGGGGGTTCTGTGAGGATATTTCATAATAGGAACATACTGTTAAGTGAATCTGCTTCAGAGTCACTTAAAATAGTTCTACACTGTGTGGTTACATTACCACTGGAATTTACATGTAGGTACATTCATTGTACTTTTGTTTCTGAGGGGTTGCACATTAAATTTCCATTTGGTATGATTATCATTATTATTATGGGCTCAAAGTCTAATCTATAAACAACGTATATGTGAGAAAGATCCATCTTCATCTTTGCTGCTGCTTCTCTCTCCCCTCCCTTATTTTAGGGACACCCATTTTTAATTTTTGAAATAATTAATTTTTGGAAACAAGGTTTCATATAGCCTAGGCTGGCCTTAAACTCACTATGTAATTGAAGATGACCTTGAACTCCTGACTTCACCTCCAGTAGGCAGAGATTACAAGTGTTGGCCACAACGTCTGGTTTGTGTGGTGCTGGGAATTGAACTCTGGGCCCAGTGAATACTAGGCAAGCACTCTACCAATGTAGCTGCTTCCCAGCCCTAGACACACATTTTCAAACAAATGTTCAAGGTTATCCTACCATTCTAGATCCTCAGATGAGCAGTCTTAGACTGAGCAGGGCCCTGCTATCTTCTTTGCAAGCCCTGGTTTTTGGGTAATCATCTTCATATCTGCAAGAAAATTTTCAAATCTCCAAGACAGGTTTTTTTGTAGGGACATGCTCATGGGTCAGAATTAATTAAGATGAGGTAAGTTGACGTTGGATCACTTGAAGTATGCGAAGTTTAAAAGCTGAGTGGACCGAGCAAATGAACCTGGATAGACTGAGCCCTTCAGCCCTAAGTGCTGTGCAGATGGGACAACAGGACACCTGTACCCCCAGGGAGGGTGTCTTTAGTGCCCGGTATACCCAGACAGATACTGTGTAGGTGATAGGCAGGAACTCAAGGAAGGAAACTGTCCCCGTTGGACTGGTTTTGACATCTTTTTTTCCACTTAAATGATGAGATGGTAGGTGAAGTAACAGGGGCAAGACTAGGTATCATGAATGATTAATTGCCACGGCTCTCAGGAAGCTATTTTTAGTCAAGAACATGAAGCAAAAGTAGCAGCACATGGCTCCAGGCTTAGCCCAGTTCATTTCTCAAGGGGTTTGGGGGTTGACATGCAGGCAAGGATGGGGAAAGCTGGAGTCATCAGTACTAGGTTAAAACACATCTGCTCCTGAAAGCAGGGTCCTCACTCCCTCACTGATTCCTGCCTGCTGAGACCTGCTTTGTATAAGGCTCATGGAGTGCAGATAGCAACATACAGGATCTAGGGGTCTTTGCCATGTCTGTACATTGCTGTACAATGGGAAAAACTAATGTGTGTTTTGGGGACAGTGTTCCATAACATGGATCTCCCAGCTAAAGCTAGGGGTCTGTATTAGTTACTTTTCTGTTGCTATAAAAGAACATGGCCATGGCAACTCGTAGAAGGAAGAGTTTATTTGGCTTATAGTTCCAGAGGGAGAAGAGTCCATCATAGTGGGGGAGGCATGGCAGGAGGCAGCTGGAGCAGACAGCTGAGAACTCACATCTCACACCCACAGGAAGAGCAACTGGAAGTGGGGCAGGGCCATGAACTCTGAAAGCCCTGCCCCCTTTGACATGCTTCCTCCAGCAAGACCACACCTCCTAAATGTTCCATGACCTTCCCCAAACAGCACCACCAACTGACCAAGTGTTCAAATACGCTTCTCATTAAAACCGCTACAGGGTCTAAGTGCTACTTTGTGATTCTTCACAGGCGAGTTGGGTTTCTTATTTGTTGATGTTGGTTTAAGTGGGGGGATAAACAACTTGTTGCTAACTCTAGAATGTGAGTAGGTATCAACTGGATTGAAAAAATAAAGTGCTAATGGGTTAGCATTTCCAAAAAAGTTTAGTCCTAAATCTCCTTCCCTCTCCCCGATAGACACATCCTCACACATACACCCACTCCAGGAGAAAAGGTAGATGTGCAGATGTTTTGACTCTCGCAGTTTTTATTTCATGAACAGATTTGGCATTGCTTACAAAAATGCACATATAGAGTGTTCCTCAGGCAGAGGTGTGTATATATAGGGGCTCACATTCTCTCTCTCTCTCTCTCCTCTCTCTCTCTCTCTCTCTCTCTCTCTCTCTCTCTCTCTCACATACACACACACACACACATCTTTCATTTTGGACACAATTCTAGTTGGGAATGGACTAAGTTGTTACATGCCTTTGTTTTTTAATAGTTGCCATATATTTTCATAGTGAAAAACTGGGAAAAAAATTTAAGAAGATACAGCTTTGTTTTCCTCTTAATACAATTTACAGAGATCTGGATTTTGTAAAAATTTTAAATTTGAATAAGAAGTTAAAATTGTCGTACTTTTGACTCAGCTGGTGTTATTTTGGTTTCTTTTTCTTATTGTAAGATTGGGTAATGGCAGTCACAGTGGGGAACAACTGGCTTTTAGAGAGGGTTTTTTTTTTTTTTTTTTTTTTTTTTTTTATTCCTCCCTCTGAGGAGGTAACCACAAAATCTTTAAAGGATTAGAGAAGTCACTATGTGGACCAGGCTTGCCTTGAACTCACAGGGATCCACCTGCCTCTGCCACCCGAGTGCTGGGATTAAAGGTGTGCGCCACCACGCCCGGCCTAGAGAGACTTATTTATTTATTTGGTCTTTTTTGAGACAGGGTCTCCTTGTAGCCCCAACTGTCCTGGAACTCGCTATGTAGACCAGGCTGGCCTTGAACTCACAGAGATCTGCCTGCCTCTGCCTCCCACGTGCTGGGATTAAAGGCGTGCGCCACCACGCCCGCCTAAGAGAGACTTTTTAAAACATTACTACAGTGTTTGAAAGTTCTGTCCCAGTGCTGAAACTTTTTCTTCTATTCTAAAAATATCTTTATATTTACTGTCAGCTCCTTAAATAGCCACAATTTAAAAGTTTACTAAGGCAGTCTGTTCTAATTTAAGATTTTGATCTATCTTGCTTTGAAGAATCAGGTGAAGTCTCTCCTGATGGGTAGAGGCAGGAAACATCTTGCCTCTTCAGCTGTGCTCTTAGTTTAATCAGTTTACATACCTTAACTTCTATCCAATGAATGTGATTATATAATTTCTTGTTTCACCAAATGCCTTTAATGTAAGGTTTATAATAAAATAATTTTGTTTCTTTCCTTAACAGAAATCATAGTCCATTAATGAGTTTTGGAGCCAGCTTTGTCAGTTTTTTGGTAAGTCAAATTAAAAGAGGTATTAGTGTGAAGAAAACAAATATGAACTGATATCTGTTATTGGCTACCAGCTGAGTAGAGTTACTGTTACAGGAAAACTAAAACTTTTGCTCATTAACTACTCTTCCCTAATTTAAAAAATAAAATGCTTATATCTCATTTTAAGTGTTATATTTTTCCCAGCCAGTATTTTTTAGAATAAAAATATAATTGAAAGACCTTCAAAAACTGAAACTGTGTTGGGGAAAGAGAAAGGTCATTTGTTAATAAAGGTTAGGTCTCAAATTATTGAGTAACAGTAGCCCAAAAGACCAGTTGAATGAGCTGAGCTGAAGTATTACAATATTACTGTTAGGGAGTTAAAGAAATGGTTACAGTTAGGTTTTTAAGTCAATTGCTCAATATAGAAAGTTGGATGCTTTTGTTTTTCAGAAACATCACACAAACTACTTTAAAATACATCATTTTAAAAATCACAGAATTCTGTAACAAAGAACAAAAGATGCTGAGTAAAGACCAAAGGGGAGGGAGAATTTGTATTCAAGATTGAGACGGACAGTGGAGTGTTGTAGACAGCTTGACTGAGCTCACTGTCCGCTGAGCTGCATTTTTATCAAGCTATTGATTTTCTCTTAATACCACAACAAGAAAAATGAAGGCCTACTCTTTGCAGGAATGCAAGTTCTATACCTAAAAGAAAATGGTCCTAGGTGAAGACTGTAGTGTTAGTACCGATCTTAATCACTTTCCCTGTTGCTGTGGTAAAACACTCTGACAAAAGCTACTTAAGGGAGAAAGGGCTTATTTGGGCTCACAGGTCAAGGAGTAACAGTCCATTGTGGTTGGGAAGTCACTGCAGCAGGAGCTTGAGGCAGCTGGTCACATTGCATCCACGGTCAAGGAAGAGAGAGCAATGAGCGCTTGTGCTTGGCTCCCTTTCTCTGGTTCACACAGTCCAGGTCGAAGCCCTAGGAATGGTGCCATCCCCAGTGGGAAAGTCTTCCCACCTCAATCCAATCAAGTCAGTTCTCCCTAGGCATACCCAGAGACCCATCTCCCAAGTGATTCAGGATCTCATCAAGTTGACAGTTGAGAATAACCATTACAGTATCCAAGGAGGCCATGGAGACAGAACCAGAGGGTCCTGGCTGAGTGAGGTGGTGAGGAGAGATGGAGAGTGTGGTCTCAGGAAAGCTAAGATTTTATAGCAGCTTGACAGGATAGGTGGAAGGAGAATGTGGCCAGGAGACTGGCACAAAGGGAACTGTGGTCTGATTTGGCTAGAATGGAAAAGTGGGGTAGAGTCATACCAAGGTAGCCTAGAATGCCAAGGAGAGTTAGAACCAGCAGATCCGCCGGGTCCTCTCAAGAGTGAGCTGTCCTGCTCCTAATGCCTGTTCAAGTCAGAAATGGCAGGTCTTCTTCACCAGGTGTGGTGATGCATGTCTGTAATCCCAACACTTGGGAGGTGTAGGCAGGAGGATCAGAAGTTCAAAGTCATCTTTGTTTATGTAGTGAGTTTGAAGCCATCCTAGGCAAATGAGACCCTACCTCAAAAAAGAAAGAACAAAATCTCAGTTCTACTGGGTAGTAGTTGCAGGTGCTCAGTGGACATTGAGGAGTGACAATGGAAAACGTAAAATGAATTCCTCTCAGGTGAATGCACAGGCATGGCTATCCCTAGAAGACTGATTTCCTGAGGGTACCTACTGGCAGCTATTTAACTAACATTTCTGTGTCGTTCTTGAACCCAGGGATCTATTTATGTATGAATAGTGTTTTTGAATGAAACACTGTTATAAAACCTGAACTGAGTAGACCAATCAGAAATTATATAGAATGTTGTTTCTATGTTTAATAATAAAAAGACTATAAACATAATGCAGGGACATTTGTTACTCATGCTGTCATAATAGAGGTATATATTCTTTGTTTTTCTTTCTTTTGGTCTTTTTGAGACAGGGTCTCCCTGTCGCCCCAGGTGGCCTAAAAGTCACTATGTATACCAGGCTGACCTTGAACTCACAGAGATCCTCTTGCCTCTGCCATCTGAGTGCTGGGATTAAAGGCTTGGACCACCATGCTGTCTAGATATTCTTATTTCACCTTGAGGATATAGTTTCTTTAAATGACTAAGGTTTTCTGTAACACTTTCTAGTTTGGCGTTTCATTATAGTAACTTAAAATTTCAGATATTTACTGATCTACTCACCCTTTATTTCTTGGAAGAATGCCATGATGACTTTTGAGGAAGAAAAAATGCAGTTGGCCTGTGATGACTTAAAAACTACTGAAAAGCTGTGTGAAAGTGAAGAGGCTGGAGTGATTGAAACAATCAAGAACAAAATCAAGAAGAATGTAAGTATCTGGGCTTCAGATCAGGACATATCCCACCTGGAGAGCATCACTCATTTACTTGGTTTGGTATCTAGGATGTGACTGAAAACAAGCACTAAGTGTCTGTCATGGCTTCTAGATACGTAATGTTTCTTAAAATAGTAGAGGCCTCTTTAATCATTATCCTATGCCTGTTCTGTGGTATTGTGAACATTACTTTGTTCCACCAAGGGCCCCTGTGATGTTGACTAGTTTTAAATGTCAACTTGACAGCCTATAATCATCTGAGAAGAGAGTCAAGTGAGGAATTTTCTAGATCAGGTTGGCCTGTGGGCATGTCTGTGGGGCACTGTATTGTTTGTTAATTGATGTAGGCTGACAAGCACACTGTGGGCAGCACCATTCCGTAGGCTGGGGCCTGAGCCATATGAGATAGGGGAAAGCTAGGTAAAGCAGCAGCAGGCAGGCAGCATGGAAGCATCTCTTTCTCTCTGCTCTTGACTACGGAGGTGATGTGAATAGATGCTTTGAGTTCCTGCCCGGACTTACCCTCAGTGATGGTCTGTAACCTAGAACTGTAAGCCAAATACCTCCTTTCTTCCCTAAGCTGCTGTTGGTTAGGATATTTTATCATAGCAACAGAAATGAAAGGACAGCTCCGTGGCCACAGCTATTGGAATGGGGTTTCCCATGTGTGATTCAGCCTAGTGGCTGATAGAACAATCACGTTAGGGCATACTTCAGGAATTCCTCTGCTGATCTCATGTTTCTCAGGTGCTGCCAGCCTTTGGTTATAACCAAAGCCTCAGTGCAGTCCTAATCCAGTTTAGGAAGGAAGCTCCATTCATATGGTGTTTGATATGCAAGCACAAAGGACCTGAATTCAATCTCCACAACCCATATAAAAAACCAGGCACTGAGGCTGGAGAGATGGTTCATCAGTTATGAGCACTGACTGCTCTTGCAGAGGACCTGGGTTCAGTTCCCGGCTCAATGCTTTTAATTGCTGAGCCACCTTTCCAGTCCCAATTTTTTTGTTTTCTAAAGTAAATTTTTATTTTATGTGTTTCATTGTTTACCTACATCTATGCATGTGCACCATGTACCTGCCTGGTGCCTGTGGAGGCCAAAAGGAGGCATTGGATCCCCTGGAACTGGAGTTAGGTGCCATGTGGGTGCTGGGAACTGAACCGGGTCCTCTGAGAAAGTGGCAATTTGCTCTTAACTACTGAGCCAGCTTCTAGCTCTAGACTACAAACGCTGAAGTGTGGCAGGCATATTCTTTCTCCTGCATAGAGCATTCTTTTTTAGAGAATGCTTACTTATTTATATTTCTGTGTGTTTGATATGTGTGATTGTAGGCATGTACCTGCCAATTCACACATGTGGAGGTCAGGGACAACTTTGGAAGTTAGTTCCTGACTTCTGCTGTTCTGTTTCTGCTGTGCTGAGCTGTAGGCTAGCTGGCCTACAAGTGTCTGGGCTAAGCTGTTTCCACCTCCCATGGTACCACAGGAAGACTCCATTACAGATGTATACCACCACATCTCGGTTTTTATGTGGGTTCTGGGGACAGAACTCAGTTCATCATGCTTGTGCGTCTGGTGCTTTTATCTTCGGAGTCACCTCTCCAACCCCTAGAATGGTAATGTTTTTATGTACTTGCTGCTCATTCTTTGATTCTTCCTGTCATCCACTGACCCCGAACCCTTGCCTGAGGCTCTGAGCTCTGCCCAGTGTCTCCTAGAGAGTCTCACAGTTCCCTGGACTTCACCTTTCAGAGCTCTTACTCTATCACATGGTCATAAAGTCTATGTTTCTCATTAACTGTAAGCTTATTTGCATATCTGTCCTTGGAATCTTCTACCATGCCTAGTTAATCACTAACATCTGAAATGATCTTTGCTGTGGGTAAAACATTTTCCTATGCGAGGACTTATTAGCTCTCTGGCACCCCTGCACAGCTGATGTCATTACAGGAAGGAAAGGAAGCATAGAATACCATTTTCCTAAACCAGTAGAGTGCTAGGGCCAGACTTGGAGTGACAGTTACCAGGATGGGTATTTAAAAATCTAGACAAGGGGCTGGAGAGATGGCTCAGAGGTTAAGAGCACTGACTGCTCTTGCAGAGGACCCGGGTTCAATTCCCAGCACCTACATGGCGGCTATGAACTGTCCTTATCTCCAGTTCCAGGGGAATCCGAAACCCTCTTCTGACCTCTGTGGCATTGCACAACATGGGGGCACTCACATACATGCAGGCAATACACTCATACACATAAAATAAAAATAATAAAGAAAAAAAAATTTTTTTAAATCTAGTCAAAAGAAGTGGGTCATTCTGTGAGGCATACTCTGTGTGCTGATGACATATATTGCAGATATCACATCATTTCTGGGGCTGGAGAGATGGCTCTGTGGTTAAGAACACTGACTGCTCTTGCAGAGGACCCTAGTTCGGTTCCCAGCACCCACATGGTGGATGGCTAACATCTGTCTGTAACTCCAGTTCCAGGGGATCTGATGCCCTCTTCTGGTCTCCACAGGCATTGCACATATGTGGTACTCTTACACATACATGCAAACAATACACTCATATACATAAAATAAAAATAAATACCATCATTTCTTATGCAAAAATTAACACATTTTATTTGTATATACTTTGTATTAAGACAGTAGTATTCTGTATCCCAGCAATTTTCATTCCATTTAGAAACATCTTTATGACAAAGGCCAGCATTTTTTTAAAGAAGTAATTTGGTTCTTAGCTTATTTTTACTTACGTGACTTAAAATTCGGGTATAATTTCTGATTTAATCAAAGCTAATTTTTAAATCCAGGATATTTTCTGGTTAACAGGTGCATGACCACTTTTCCACCTTTACGTCTCAGTTAAACGCACCAAAAGAATGCACCTTAATGTTAGCTCTCCTTTAACTCAGATGGCTGTAAAATGATTTTGTGGATTATCTGCTTTGGAAAGTGTATTGCACCACTAATATCTTTTATTTTGGATAAATAAGAATTTAAAGTATCTTCCCAGAACTCGAGAGGTAGAGGCAGGTGGGTTTCTGTAAAATCAAGGCTAGCCTGGTATACACAGTGAGTTTCAAGCTAGCTGGACTGCAGGGAGACCCTGTCTCAAAAAAGTGTCTTGAGGGCTGAGAGAGACCACAGCAGTTAAGCACCACACTGCTCTTGAAGAGGACCTGAGTTCGGTTCCCATCACTCACATGGAGTGGCTTACAGCTACCTAGAATTTTGGCTCCATGGGATCTGATGCCCTCTTCTGGCCTCTGAGGACTCTGCACTAGAATGTAAGAATGCACACTCAGATACACATATACATATAATTTAATAATTTAAAAAATTAAAAGTAATTTTTAAAAAAGAATTTACATTGTCTTTAAGAAAGATTATTCCCAGAAGTTTTTCATTGTTGTTTTTCCTTTTTCCCCAAAACTTCATTTTTTATCATTCATGATACCGGTTTCGAACAGTGCCCTTTAACTTGGCAAATTGTTGACATAGCTGGAGTAAAGGGAGTATGGAACCACCAGGCTTCTAGTATAAATTTGGTCTTGGCTTTGAGTGACAGCCATGCTCCACAGTCCCTGTGGGAAATTATTTTGTAACATTAGACTGCAGTTGTTTGGGTGCTGTGTTGTTCTTGTGTGATTTGTGAGTATACATTTTCTTTCTACCAAACAGGTTGATGCTCGAAAATCCGCCCCCTCCATGGTTGACCGACTCCAGAGGCAAATCATTATTGCTGACTGTCAGGTTTACTTGGCTGTGCTTTCGTTTGTGAAACAAGAATTGTCAGGTATGTGGAATCATTTTTAATGACACTCACTATTCAGGGGCACACACAATCAGTAAGACTTTTTAAAAGAAAGCTTCTTATCTCAGCCTTTGAAAATGCACAGCAGCACCCCTTTGGGACATATTTCTGATGTATTACTTGGGGAAAAGAAACCACAAATGCTTAATGTGTACTTAGCAGTGTAGTTTTAGTTTTGAAGTTGGTGTCTCATCCTCTGGTCTCAAGATAATTTTATCTCGCTTAGAGAAATTATTAGTGCCTTTTATAGAGAGCATATAATACTTTGTGATCATCAAGTTGTACATACTAATCTTCAAAGTGAAATGTAACTGGTTTAAATTTAAGTTTTTCAGGAAACTGTTTTTGAAGGCCTGAACGCCTTCACTCATTTCAAGTTTATTAGGGAATCGTTAAAGTTCATTAAAGATTTTCTAATGTACTTGAAGGACTGGCATCATAATAACCTTTAGCAAGGGATCTAAGCTAACTTCTTCATTAGTCTGTCTAATGCACATATTCTCCTGGCCTTTATGGCTTTAATTTCTTGAGTGGACTGAATTCAAATGAATCGGTAATGGCTTGCCAAGAGACTGATTTCCTGGTCTGGTTACGTCTCCTGGATCTTGGTAGCAGAAAACTGCCACTTGACCAGACGGGAATTACTTGGGGGGTCGGGGGGGGAAGAGAACGAAAAAAGATGCAAGGTGGCATCAACTCGAAGTCAGTCAGAAAAGCATTTTCTCCCAAACTTCAGATGAAGATGGATATTTTTCAGCTAAACTGTAATTTACTTTTCTTTCTAGACACCCAGAAACCATTTCCCCACTGTTTCTTCTCTGTCTCCCTTTCTGTTGTCTCCCTGAAGATGTGGTTTCTACTGTGAGGCATTACTAACCAACATTAAGGTTGTACTTCAATAAAGAATCACCTGATTCAGTGTTGTTTAATCTTTTTATTTTCAATTTTTTGTTTTTGGTCTTTTTAAGATAGGGTCTCTCTGTAGCCCCAGCTGGCCTGGAACTCACTATGGAGACCAGGCTGGCCTCAATTTCACAGAAATTCACTGCCTCTGCCTCCTAAAGGCTTCCATCATCATGCCCAACAGTGTTACATTTTAAAAGCCAAGAACAGACCTGAACTCCAGGGTTCGTTCCTTCACATCTCACAGAACTGTGCTCTTGAGTCAGGCCTCACCCATACTTTTATTCAAAACTGTTTTTCCAGCTTCAGTTGGGGAACTATAAGCTTAGACCCACCCATATCTTATTAAACAATTTTCCCCTCTGATCCCTAGGCCTAAAATAGCTCATACACACAATGTCAATCAGACTTCTCTATATGCTGTTTCCAGTGCTTTGATAATTCAAGCATACCCACCTTCATTCACTGTCTTGGGTGGAGGGCAAAGTGGGGTCCCAGGGCATCAAGGTCAGGTACCCAGATCACAGAGTGGCATATGGCTCTGAGTTTGTTTATATTATAAATAGTAGCTTTTTAGTTGCAAGATTAAGTAAAGGTCAGGGCTGGGGAGATGACTCAGCGGTTAAGAACACTGTTCTTGCAGAAGACCCAGGTTCAAATCCCAGCATCCACATGACAGCTAACAACTGTTTGTAACAGCTTCTTCTGCCCTCCATGGGCATTGCATGAGGCAATACATGTAGGCAATACACACATAGACATAAAATAAAGTAATCAAAATATTTTTTTTAAAAAGGTGAAGTAAAGTCCAGATTCTGTCCATTTTGTAAAAGTCAATTCTACACTATTGGACTTCAATTGAAGGGAATTTAAGGTTTATTTCGACCTCTGAAACTTACACTTTCAAAAATGTATCTTTCTTGGGGGCTGGAGAGTTGGCTCAGCAGTTAAGAGCACTGGCTACTCTTGCAGAGGACCTGGGTTCAATTCCTAGCACTCACATGGCGGCTAACAACCAACCATCCATAATTCCAGTTCCAGAGGAATTCAGCGCTGTCCTCTGACCTCAGTGGGTATGGTATGACACGTGTGCACTTACACACATGCAGGCAATATGCTCATATACATAAAATGAAATTTTTAAAAAGTATCCTTCTTTTAAAATATGTCCTGTGCTGTGCTCTTTCCACATGTTTTTTTTTTTCCTTACCTTTTTCTTGGTACTTTCTCAACCCCTTACTAACAGGGTAATTCTAGCATGTTGAGAGCTCATAGTGAGTGACTTTCCCTATAGGGCAGTAAAGCTCATCCCCTCCCATTCCAACTTGTGCAGTGACTGATATCAGAGCAACAGAGCTTACTTGGAATACACTGGCAAGACAAGAGTGCTCAGTCATCTGCGATTTTGACATTCTTTATCTGATGCTCAAGGCTCCTGTGAGGAGCTCATTTTAGCTATTAAAAAAATACCACCTGGGGCTGGAGAGATGGCTCAGCAGTTAAGAGCACTTGCTGCTCTTGCAGAGGACCTGGGTTCAGTTCCCAGCACCCCCTTGGTGGCTTACAACTTTTATCTGTAATTCCAGTTCCAGGGGATTTGACGCCCTTTTCTGGCCTCCATGGGCATTACACCCACATGTTGCACATACATGCATGCAGTCATACACACAAAATAAAATTAAATTTTAAAAAAGAAAGTACCTCTTTAAAAAGAAGGTTAAGGGCTAGAGAGATGGCTTAGTGGTTAAGAGCACTGACTGCTCTTGCAGAAGACCTGGGTTCAATTCTCAGCACCCACATGGAGGCTGACAGTTATCCATAACACCACTTCTGGGGGAATTTGGTGCCCTCTTCTGCTCTCCGAGGGCAATTGCACTACATAGGTGCATTTACATGTATGCAGACAATATACTCATATACATATAAGATGAAATAAAAAATAAAATTATTTTGAAAAGAAAGAAGGGTAGCCAGGTGTACATGAGTCCCAGCTTAGCATTTGCTAAGTGTGTATTTTATTTCTGACCGGCACCCACACCCCTATTCTTTATTTCATCCATAAATTGTCTTTCTTTCACAGGATTGCCTTTTCAAGCTTACTCTTCTCGTAGTCTGATGTTAATCAGACTGCATATCCCTGATGTTGACCGCATTCTTAGTTTTTTCTGAAGTCCCATAGTTTATAGAATGTGGTATTGAATCTGAAGTGAAGTTCTCATAGCCTAAAAGCCTTGGGTCATGGCATTTTGCTCCGTGTCTGTTCTAAACATACAAACATAATCAACATGTGCTTCATACAAATAATATATTTACCTTATTGTGAGAATCCATTTGTTCAGTGTTTTTGTATCTGTTTCTGGTTTTGCTTTGTTTTGTTTTGCTTTTTTGAGGCAGGGTCTGGCTGTGTAGCCTAGGTCGGCTTCAAAGTCAGGTACCTCCTGCTTTATCCTCCTAAGTGCTCAGATTATAGACATGCATCATGCCTGACATCTTAGAAAACATTCTAGAAGGATAAGTTTATTGAACAACAATCCTGCAAACCTCCTTTATAGGAACATTTGTTGTTAATGTCTCTCCCCTCCCCTGAGCAGAGCAGCAGAGCATATACTCAGCAGAGCTTTGCATGGGGATGAGTCTAATGTTCTCATACTTTCAGAGAGCTTTTGTGTTCTCATTTGAACTACTTTATGATGAATCATCCCATCTCCCTGCTCTGTCATACGACCATACAGCTTTTTAATTAATCTCTGATTCAAGGGTCTCTTTTCTTTTTCTGCAGTGACCATCTATCTTTTGTAAGTTCTCTTAGAAATCTGTGTGTGACCTTGCCTAGTTTTATTTCCCTATTTCTTTTTTAAAAATTTGTTTTTATTGAATTTTTGTGTATTTCATACAGAACCTCTTAATCAAACTTAATCATCTTTATACCCCTGTCCCCACTGGCACCCTCCCATAGCCCCCCCATCCCACTGGAATTCATACACCCCTGTTTCTTGTCTTGCTGGTTGTTGTCTTCTTGGTGTAATGAATGCTCAGTGGGTTTTCCCCACAGGATATTGGGTTCCTTCCTCTCCAGAGACAGTCAGTGCTGAGTGATTTGGTGAGATGGAAAGAGATTCACAGCTTGTAAGAGGCAACAGATACATAGTTTTCCTACTTCACAACTGAATTCTGCTGTCACCTTTCCTCCACCCCCTTAGTCTGGTTGCTAATGCCTCCACCTCCCCATAGCCCAGAAGTGCAGGTATCTCATTCCCGCCCGCCCCATGTTCCCTATGTCCTGTGTCACTAGTCCCCATCACTCCCCTCCATGCCACATTCTCCATGCTGCTACTGGAACCATCTTCCTAAGACACATTACACCTGTACTTTAAACAGTTCCCTGGCCTATGTCATCCACAAGGTAGGGGCAAAGCTCCTTTCCAGGGTGGCATGGAAGAGCCTGCCCCTTCCTAGCATCCTGCCCGATCACTGCCATAATGTGGCAGAGCAGAATTCCCTGTGCTTCTCTGAAACACCATTCACAGTCTTGTGCTTTCGTTCACACTGTGCTCTTCAATAGAAACACCTCTGCTCTGGCCAAATCAAACACAGCCCAAACCTTCCTTCCTCACAGGCCTCATCAGTCTGGCCCAGGAAGCTAGAGGGGTACCCTGTGTAGTCAGTTGTGTTATGTAGTTATCACCTAGAAGTTCAAGGTTTTAGTTCTCTACATGCCTGAAATATTAGAATGTAAACTCCTTGACGGCAGGGACTGGTTGGTCTACACGCTGTTTCCCTCCTTTCTTCATGCACTGCCTAGGTGTCTGCCCTATGGCATAACAGGTGCTGCTGATCCAGAGATGAACGGGGCAGCTTTTGACCTGAGGGAACTCATGGTTTAGCAGAGGGGAAAGACAAGCAGATTGTAATTCAGGAAGCTCCTGTGACCAGCAGACAGAGTTCCAGATGTCACAAGACATCACATCAGGATCAAGTGATTCTGACCCTTTTGGGAGGCAGAGAATTCCCAGTTCTGTCCCTGTGCTATGAACAGTGAGCCAGATGCAGGGAGAGAACATGGCTCTGATCCCAGTACT